CGTCTCCCGGGAGCCCGGCGAGGCGCGAGCGACCGAGCCGGGGGGAGGGAGGGGAGCGAGCGCGCGGGGCCGCGTCCTCGCTCGCGTCCGGGCTCCCCGATTGGTTTCTGCCCCTCCCCCTTCTTCCTCCGCCTCTCCCACCCATTGGTTCTCTCTGCTACTCCATTGCTTCTCACCTTTTCCCTTTTACCCATTGGTGTGAATATTTTTCCTCAGCTTTCCCCTTTCTCCGTATTCTGCTCCTCCCCCGGCCCATCCTCCACGCTTTAGAAGCTGCATAGCGTGCACGGTCGTCTCCAAGCCTCCCCTGATTTCTCCTTTTCCTTCGTTCGGTTTCTGGCCGTAACTCAGAGCAAACCACAATACTGCGAAAGAACCTGATGTGTTAGCCGTTGCAGAACGCAGCACTGGCACCGAATGCCTCTCGGTAAATCTCTGAGCGTTAAAGAATGCAAAGGAGGAAAACACAGTATGCGCCCCAGCTTGTTCACGGGGACTTGTTCGTCTGTGTGCTCCTGGGTGTATGGCCAGTTTTCTGCCTGGGGAATCTCTTGCCAACTACAGACTTCGTCCGCCCAGGACCTGCTACCACACTCAGGGAACAAAACTCCAAGGAAGAGTAGTTCAGTTCTCTGTTGTCACATCCAGGGACACGGGGCCTGATTCAGTCCCTTTAGGAGAGCTGATCGGGACTCCAAGACTTGAACATCCTTGGGGTAGCCCCAAAGACTCCGGCTCACACTTCTGCTAGCCCGACTTTATTAGCCGCTTGGCTTTTGTTATTCTGCCATAAATAAATTTAATGTTTTACTTCTAGAAATTTCACAACTTTGGGGGGTACGGGGTGCTTTCCGTGTGTTTCCTACCTGTGCATTGACATTGATTGATACACGGACAGCTGTAGAAACCACTGGCTTTTCAACTTTGAAGGAACTGAGGGTCTTGTGACTTTCCCAAGGTCATCAGAATCTGACTTACACAGAGGTCTTAAAACAGTTGTCAGCACATGAAAGAATGAGTAAAAACACAAATCTCCATTCCTTGTTAAGTTTAAAAGAAAAAAGTAATTTGGGGTCACTTTCTCTTTGGAGAAAGATTATTTCCCATATTGAAAATAGTCTATTATCAGTAGAGTTAACATAAAAACTCTTGAAAATTCTAGTTATTCTTTATTTCTGACTGTTACATAAGGTACTGAAGTTAGCCAAGGTTGCTTTTTAGTGTTATAACTGTGCAGCTGCTGCCAACCAGCAGTATGTTTATGGTCTATTGGTAAAGAAAACAAAAACTGCCTGTTGGTAAAAATCTGTTAGAAAATATTTGTTGGTAAATCTGTCACAATATTCCAGCAGAAGTTCTGTTCATTTGTTCCCTTCCTTTGCCTATTCATTCTCCATGTTTCTCAAAGGTAAATTTAATAGACAAAAGCAAGAAGGACATTTCTGTTTTTTCGCTCTTACTCCCCAATTAAAAAAAAAAATAACTAAAATTCAATTCCAGCCTCTCTCTCTCTCTCCCTTGCATCTAAAGTGCTACCAGGCAAGTCAAATAAGAATAAGTTAAAGACTTAAAATAAGTTAAAATAAATATTTCATTCATCCAGTGACGAAATGTAGGCAAGGAAAAGGGCAATGAAGAAATCTTGCAATGAAAATTGAGAGGAAAGAATACGGAGAGATGAGAATTGAGAAAAGGAGTTCAAACTACTAAAATGTGCTACTAAACTTACAAAGGTTGGAAAGTTAATGTATTCAATTGTGTGTTTTCATCTTTGCACTAAAAGCTTAAAATACATAAAGCCAACACTTGAGTAAAATGTTAGTTACTATATAGATGTCCAAGCTAAATATATTTTTAAAAATATTTTCCAAATAATCAGAAAACTTGTAGTCATGGTCATAGACATGTACAGTATTAATATAAACCATTCAAATAAATCAGATCTAGTAAGGAAGCACTAACATAAAATGTAATTTTCAGTCCCAGGATATGAAACCCGAGGAAGAGATTTAAATCTTGTATTAATGAAGACACTAGAAAGTATATTTTTAAAATATCAGATGATTTTAAATAATAGTTTTCATAGCTGACATTTTTATTCCTACATTGTCCATCTGCACTTAAGGGGTCTGGAAATGACTTTGCTTCTAACTAATACTAATAGGCTAAAGCTATATACAAGTAACTTATCACTTTTGTCATTTATGTTACTTTTCTCAAAAATAAAATATACACCTTTCTGCACTAGTAGAAATCTGAAAATAGAATTTGGGGCTAAAACTTCTGTGATTAGCAGGGAAAAAAGAAAAAATGTCAATTTTCAAAGTTGATCAGGAGCCAATATCTTCAGAGAAAAAGCTTAAAATACTCAATTTCCCCAACCAAAAGGGTATATTTTAAGAAAATAAGGAATGTATTCTTTATACGCACATGTGTAAATATGGGGGAGAGGTAGAACAAATATTCCCAAGCCACCTCAGATCAACTACTCTTCTTATCTAGAATAAGAACTTTAAGCACTTGTTCTGCTGTGCTGGATAATTAAAATCTCTTGAAGCTTTGTTCATTTACTTTGAAAAAACTGGCAGAATAAAGATTTCAGTCAGGCACTTTAGGTTTTTAATTTAAATATTGTCTCCACAAATTTCTACTTCTTCAACATATCCTAATAAAATACTAATATTCATGCTCTTTTTGGATCAAAAGAGATAACAGTTATAAAAAGTGTTATAATTCCAGCCTCCTATGAGTGGTAACACTGCAATATTGAGAAACCTAAGCCTGATGTGCCAAAAGAATTTACCCTATAGAAGTAGCTACACCCCCTGCTGGAAATCTTTGATCATAACAACTCTGGCTTCCTGTAGCCTCAAAGGAGAAGGTATAAAAAAGTCAAATACATAAAGGAAGGACCTTTCCACTCATGACAAAAGTGATCAATGTTTTTACCTGTCTAATACAAGACAAGCTTTTTGAGAATAAATTATCTCGGAATATCTTCTTGATTTCAGACAAAATACACAAAAAGCTTAGAAAATAATGATGTAAATAACTAAATACACTTATAACATTTGTAAGATTATTATCCAATTTCTGACTTCATTTCTCAACTATTTCCACCTTATCCCCACTTGTGAGGTGTGACCTGGAAATCTCTCTTTCTCCGATCTCATACAGTTAGGAATAGTGGGACAGGATGGTGGGTTAAGATGAGGAGTCATTCTTGCAGGTAAACAAAAACATTGTATACCAATAACCACAGTAATCATTTGCTGAGATATTTGCTTAAAGGCTTTCCTCAAAGTTGTTTTATGGCTACCAATGATATTTTCAACATGAAGAAAAGGAGCTAATTATGTCTTGGTTGTTACCACAGAAAATATTCTGAAGAGAGTTAAGGTAATTGTGGGCATGGAACTGGAACAGGAGGAAAGTAATGCAGTGACCTTCCTGGCATTTTGTTCCACAGAGCCTTGTTCTGTTGATTTTCTAGATTTTGTACTTTCAAACTGAAATCCCAAAGATGGTATCAGAGTCTAACTTCAAAATGTCATGCTTATGCCACTGTGGCCCTAGGACATAACTAAAGTTGTGAAAGCAGCATTCTATTTTAAAATAATTAGTATTGTACAAAGATTGTTAGTAATGCAGACTCCTTTAAGGGAATAACAATTCATTCAGGTCCCACCAGCACAAATACTTTAATTAGACAAAAATCTTCAAGTTATTTCCTCTCACAAAAGGAGGTATTGTTGGGCCATCTGGACCCTCCATTGAGTCTTTATGAAAGATCGCAGCTTGAATTTAATCAACCCCAATAAGGTTAACCCTATAAAGCTAAAAAATAATTGTAAAGGAGTAAAACATTGAACTTGTTTAAGATTATCACTATCCTCTGTAAATCATTTCAATAGGAAACATGGACTTACATTGCTTAACTAATCACATGGTCATAATTTTAATTTTTATGAACTTCTATTATTTTCACTGTATTTAGACCAAACTTAGATTATGAGCTCCCTATAAGAAATCATAAATGAATATATGGCTCTATACAATAACTAGAAGGTCATTATTAGAAAGCTCAACAAATATTTGATAGCAATATGAAACACCATAGGTTTTATGGATTTCTGTGGATTTATTGCTAACAGAAGGACTTATGCTTTGAAGTACCAACTGAGATAATCACCTTGAAAAAAAAAGCCAAATCATTTAAAGAAATTGCTGAATTAGCTCATAAAAGTTGAGTTAGATGTCCTTCCCCAAGTACAACCTACATTCTCCACATAACATCTCTGTAGTAGGTAAATGTTTTATTAGCAACAAATAACTGAGTCTGAAACATCCGGGGACATTAGAAAAAACTTGTGCAGCATAAGAGGTTATGAAATCAACAGTAAGGTGGCTAATCCTTCTGCAAGTAAGCTTCTGTCAACTTTATTTATTATTTTAAACTATAATATACGGCAAATATTTGCTTTGCTAATCCACGCTTCTGGATTTCCTTCAGAACACAAAAAATACTGTACTTTCTCTAGATCAATAAATACATATTTCTAAATATTTTTATACATGTTAGATCATGTGATTTTTCTAAATGATACATCTTTTATACATCTATTAGATAAGAAGAAATAATA